ATTAACGTCCGGTTTCAATATTCGAAATACAGATTTTGTTACTGTAGATAGAATTTTGACGTAAGTGCTATGGAGCTAATGTCCTAAAATACCTATCGCTAGTAACAAAATATATTCTGTAGATAGGATTTAGAAACCGGCCGTGAGTCTGCTACGTGACGTATGGATGCAAATGTACGTACGCACTCTAATGACAGATTACGTAATCGAACATTAAATTATGTAATGTTATTAGCACTGCTATTGTAGGCTGTATAATAAATTTAATTATTGAAATGTAGCAAACTTAAACTAAGCAATATTATAAAGTAGCGACACGCCCCGGCTTCGCACGGGTGCAATGTATTATACATATGAAGGTTCCTCTTGAATCACTCTATCTAGTAAAGAAAACCGCATCAAGATCCGTTGCGTAGTTTTAAAGCATACAAAGGGACAGCAAGACAGCGGGACGACTTTGTTTTATACTATGCAGTGATGCGAAAGTTTTTCTGTCTTTGTCTCTGTGTCGCCACGAGACTAGACGTATTTGAAATGAAGATTTTTTATCTCTAAAAATTATCTCTCCGTCTCGAAAGGAAAACACGGGCGTAAAGGCTGCTGAAATATATTTTTTTTACATACAGAACATTTATCAGAGATTGTTTATGAATCATTCACTCTAGCGAACAATATTTCATGTGGGTTAAATCAAGAACGATGCGCGTGCCAAGTTAATAAAAATGTTAGACAGAAATGCTTGCAGGAAGAAACTTAGTCTGACGGCGCCGCTTTATACACGAAGCCAGCTAACGACGAGTTTACGACGGATATATTTTTTTCTTTTATTGCCCTCACTTTAGGATAACATTATCCTGTGTTGTAAGGACGTTTTACAAACATAAATTTCACCTGGGCACAACTATCTGTGGGTCGCACAAACAGTTGTCCCGTGTGGGAATCGAACCCACGACCCCCAACGCCATAGCCAAAACATTGGCAACTGCGCCACGGAGTCATCAAATTTTTATGTGAAAGGATGTCAATACTCAGTTCGCGTCGTGAAACTGTACGGAGGAGGTTTTTGCCCAGCAGTGGGACATAATATATAGGCTGCTACTTTACATCATTTGGTACATTATTATAGATTAAAGACTATAGATAAATTGTAAAAAAACTCTTAATAGCTACGACTGAAGCGTACAGAACGCGACAAGCTAGATTATGGTTCTTCTTATTACATGCTTTGCAACATTCCAAACTAAATATTTGTAACTGTTTACAATTTGTTGTTAAATTACTTGTCATACAGGAATGAACTGTTTTATGGGACCCAGATGACTTTTCTACTGAACCACCAATTCAGCGATCGCTGATTTAGACATTTTCCCAATAAAGCAGTTCTCAGTTGCCAACAGAGAGAACTTTTCACGTATTCCGAGACCTCCCAAGCTTTGGGGCCCAGTCCAATGTCTGAATCATGTCGTCTCGTCAATCTTTTATTTCTATTTATAATCTTGGCGCTATACTGAGGTATATTGAATGAATTATGTAAACAGCCATTAACTAATTGCTTAGTCAGTCAGTCCTTGGGGGGAAATATAATTTCCTGTTAACGACGACGTCATAGGTTTATCCCATGTTGACCAAAATGGGTCCTTTGTCGATCTCAAGGAAGTAGTGTGGTTATATTTAATAACAATGTTTCGTAAATCGGAAATAAATTTGTCGGAACATATTATTAGATTCGAATTGCCTGAGTGTTTAATTAAGTACTTTGTTCTTTTAATATAGTCCGTGCTGAAATGCTATATTAAGTAGATGGAGAATTTTGAATTTGATAATTACAAAGTGAAATTGCTTCCCTATACTACCTTCTAAGGGCTTGAGTACTCAAATTATATATGCTTTGTAATGTCCTACCAAATTCCGTCTAGGCGTTGTTTTAAGATTCCAACATAGCGATTGGTTAGTTTTCGCATAAGCTTACAATCCTTAAAGCGCTTATAAACATTCCAACTTAAAAATCGGCACAAATACCTCTATTTCACGATGGGTCCTACACGAGCCACTTTTCAACCGACTTCGAAAAGGAGGAAGTTATTTTAAATTGTTTATAGTGCTAATCTTTGCACTTAAGATTGAACATTAAAATATGTAGAAAAGGTACGTAAAGATCGTCGCCGCTGTGGGAATCGAACCCACGTCTTCGGCATTCGCGGCCTGACGCTCTAGCCACTGAGCTAAACGGCTGTTTAGCTCAGTGGTTAGAGCGTGGCTCGTACTTCGTCGTTCGTACTTTTTCTACATATTTTAAGGAGGAAGTTCTCAATTCGACTGTATTTTTTTTATGTTTGTTACCTCTGAACTTTCGGCAGAGTGAACCGATTTTGATAATTCTTTTTCTATTGGAAAGCTGGTGCTTCCTATGTGGTCCCGTATTAATTTCATTAGCATTGGATCTTGGACTCGGGAGATATTTTAGGGAACTCCTGAAGATCATTTATAAAATGAATACGGAGCGAGATATTAGATGTCGGTCATGTTTTTCGTTAATAAAAAAATGCACTTGTTACGTGGGATAAATCCTTCATGGATTCCCTACCTCTTGATCGAGGCATGAGGGGTATTTGGAAGTCCCAATCAGAACTGGTATCAACTAAAATACCCAAGTACCCGTCTATGGAGCATCTGTATGGACCATAAGGACGCAATCTTCTAGCAGACGCGTGGAACAGAACTTCTGCTTTTTTAATACCTACGTCGCGTTCGGCGTAGTGGGTAGTGAAACTGTCTCTTGCATCAGAGTATGTGGGTTCGATGCCCACTACTGGAAAAATATTATGTGATGAATATAGTGTTTTCGCGTTTCTGGATGTTTATATATATGTGTTTATTAAAATGCATTTATTGTACTTTTAAGTATGTTTATCAAAAACCTAGTATCCATAGTACGATTTTGCAGTGGTAGGGCCACGCAGCAGCATCGGCTGTTGCACGAATGGGTAGGCCCGTCCAGGTAAGTACCACGACCTCACAGAAGACCAGCGTAAAGTAGAAGTATGACAAATACTTTCGCGTTTCGTCTGGTGAGTGAGGTAGCCGGAGCCCAATTTTCCAAAGGTTGTCAACGCATCTGTAGCCCTCGGGTGTGGCGAATGTCCATGGGCGGCGCTATTCACTTAACATCAGGTGAACCGTCTGCTCGTTTGATAACTTTTCGCATAAAAAAAAAATGAGTTTTGATTACTGTGGTGATGCCAAGCAATTTTTCGCTATTGCACGAATAGGCAGGTCCGTCACAGAAGGCGTGAAGTAGAAGTGTTACACTTCCGCGTTTCGTCCGGTGAGTGAGGTAGATGGGGCCTACTTTATTAGAAGGGACAACGCATCTGCAACCCTACGGGTGTTGCAGATGTCCACGGGCGCCAGTTATCACTTAAGATCGGGTGGACCGCCAGCTCGTTTGCCATTCACACATTAAAAAAAGTTGGAGACTAGATAACGTTGTGTTAGTGTCCTGAAATATTTACTAATGCGTTAAATAATTGCGTTTTGTATAGTTTCTGACAAGGGCAAGGGATCTTCGATACGGATATTCGTTCTCAATCCGACATCACAGTTTCAGGCTAATCCGTCTCGAGGTTAGAATCCATCGGCATTGAAGCGGCTACCCTCATTAATATGATAACGAGCTAATGACGGTGTGCGCATAATTATTAAAAACGCTATTAACTAAGATAAATATTAATTATACCATGAAATTTAAATCTTTATAGTGCTTATCAAAGCATTTAAAATGAAACGTTAAAATTTGTGGAAATGGACGAAGGTTTGTGAATAATGTACATCAAATACGTTGAGATTCTCGTCGGCATGGCAATCGGCCAATTGCTTAAAGCATATGGGCGTGAATCCGGAACACCAGGGTTTGATTCCTTCAGCAGAGGAAATCTCTTCGTCCGTTTTCATAGAAATTTTAAAGCTTTTATTGTTTTAAATTAAACATGGCCTTTAATTTCATATGTGGATTATAAATTGGCATTTTGCGGTGGCCGCCATATTGGGTTAATGGCGGCATTTAGGTAATCGGGCATTGTGACGAGAACCAAACGAGTGTGCCAAGTTTCAGCTAAACCGGTAATTGTAGTGTGTCAAATTTAACTTGTAACATCCCATTACAGACAGCGAGACAGGTGAAATAAAAAAACAGTTTGTAATTATGAAACCACTCTTAGCCTAAAAGGCTGTGCCTTCTTAATTAAGTGTGAAGTTACCTAAGTTATAAACGTCATGCCTAATTATTTCTTAGTTTTACACGAATGCAATATATGCAAGAACTGTGTGGTCTGTATCGTCATAATACAATTCTAGAAGCATCGGCAACTTTTTTTATGTGACAAGTTGCCAAGCGAGCGGGCGGTCCACCCGATGTTAAGTGAATACCGCCGCCCATGGACATCTGGTACACCCGAGGGTTGCAGATGCGTTGACAACCTTTTAAAAATTGGGCTCCGGCTACCTCACTCACCAGACGAAACGCGAAAGTACACTTTACGTCGTTCTTCTGTGAGGTCGTGGTACTTACCCGGACGAGCCCGCCCATTCGTGCAACGGCCGAGGCTGCTGCGTGGCCCTACCACAGTAACTTAAAAACAAATTAAACTAGATGAAATGTGTAGTTTTATTCGCGCAACACAGAGTTTATTTGCATAGCAAATGTGGGCAGACATTTACGCACGTGACGAACCCGGGAAACGGAAGGACGTAAAGAAAGACGAGGAACGACATCGCGGAAGTAATTATTAGAACTCGTTCACTGCTATTATTAATATGTCGTTCACAAAGTGGTGAATGCTTTAAATGAAATGTCGGTCAGACAGTTTACGATTTCGTCATAGGCATTAAGCCTCGTAAGGACATTCCAATGAGTCTTTTTGAAATATCTTATAAATATAGTACAATAAACTTCCAATATTCAGTTAATCGAATCGCTTTGCGGACTTTACTGGGATTCATTATTGTGTCTTAACTCCTTCAGTTTCGATGGCTGTTGCAGCTTTTGGATTTGAGGTGTAATCTTTGGCGATGAGTCTGGCTGCCATCCACACTACGCGCTGGTACGGGTGTCGGGAAATTGAACCCGGGCCTTGTCTCAGGGAGCGCGCCGTCCCGCCGGGCAATGTGGCCTAATATCGCCCTGACGGTATAGCGATGGCGAAGGGCGCTATCGACACATATGAAGACGTACTTCATATGTGTCGATAGCGCCCTTGGTGTTGGCATGAGCTGATCCCTCGACCCTGTCACTCATGAGCGGCCGATTTTCGAGGTGATCCGTCCATATTTTCCCAAATTGCGTTCGCCGCTGCTGTTTTTTTATGGAGAAAAGGGGCAAACCAGCAGGGGGCTCACCTGATGGTAAGTGATCACCGCCGCCCATGAACACCTGCAACACCCGAGGGCTCACAAATGCGTTGCCGGCCATTTAAGAAAGAGTATGCTCTCTTCTTGAAGGTATGCTATGTAATCGGGCTGCCGTCAGTTTTAGAACTGTGCGTTTAAAGTGCGTATCTTCAAGTTGTTGGGCTTCTTTGACGGGTCTTATTCTTATTTCTTGGACGGGATTTTTAATCGAAAATTCTCGACATATAAAACTGAATATAAAAACGACAAAATCGGTGTATTACTTTTTTTACATGATAAAGTGTTCGTGGACGACTGCGGAATAAAAATAAATATGAAATTCGAAAATCTGTTTAACCCTTTATTACGTAGTATGATTAACCAACAAGTTTCATTGGTGACTCCGTGGCACAGTTGCCAAGGTATCGGCGGCATTTGCTCTCTAGACGAGTCGGATATTAAGTTTCACGTAAAGTACATTCACATATTATTACGAAGTTATTTTTACACATACTATTAACTGCAATGAGTTATTACTTGCGCAGTTTTTCGATTAAACGACGCGGAGGTTACGAGCGAGTTTATATAGCCATTAAAAAAAAACACGTAAAGTGTAATAGGAAGTAAACTAGTTCTTTCGAGAGATTTCTGACGTACTTCCTTCAGGGTCAATGATTGCTTGGCTTAAATGTCCATGAAAGGTGTTTGTTAAAAAGGTTTCTTTTTTGTTTTATTTTATGTTAGAAGGTGACAAATGAGCTGGCGGTTCACCCGGTGTTTTTCTTTTTTTTTTTTAGTTTAAAAACATTGCCCTTACTTTAGGATAACATTATCCTGTGCTGTAAGGACATTTTACAAACATATTGATAACATATTCATGTTAAGTCATAACCGCCGACCATTGACACTTGCAACACCAGTAGGGTAGCAGATGCGTTGCCATCTTTTAATAAAGTATCTTGTAATACTTCCCCTTTATGCCGGTCTTCTGTAAGGTTGTGGTACTTCTCTGGACGAACTCCAAGAATAAACTATGTAAATTAGCTATATACCCTTCGGTTGAAAAATCTTGTAATACCCAGAATTGACCACATAAGCTTTGATTCCATCTGGCACCTCTTGTGCAGTTGACTTTTTTGTAAATGCCCAAAAGGTAAAAGAGAAATTGTAGAGAAAGTGTGTTGAATTATTTCTTTCATGTAGTGTAAACAAATAATTTAAGTGAGATTGGTAAATGGAAAACAAAACACGACCACCACATCAATGTGTATGCAAAGGTTCGATGCTTGAATGTATGTATTGTTTTTTATGTTTGTTCACCCATTTATCCCCCATTTGTGGACCGAAAAACTCAAAACTCTTTTAGTTATATTTTTTGATTTGTATCAAACTACTTACATTCTTTAGTTTAGTGTTATTATTAAAAATTTTTTTTGAACTTGTTGATTTTTTTCTATTAGTAAATAGAGCTTTGCAACCTCCTGCAACCCCCTGAAGATGATATTTACATTAGAAATTTTTATTAAGGTTATTATTATTAGTGAGTTTCTATAGAATACTTTAGTATATCTATTAATTCTTTGAAATTCAAATAGTTATGTAATAGTAAAGGTAATAGTAAAAAAACAAGGTGATTTTTTTTCTATACTTTGTGTACTGGAATTTGTTTGTAATTTGTGTTTAAAAGTCATTTAAAATGAAAGACCCAGAGTATCATGGTATGTAGAATAATAGCCTTTAAAAAATATTATGGAACAGAAAACAAGAAATAAATGATAGCAGAAATAAAAAAATCTTAATCATGAACTTATAATATGTTTTAGGAAGAAGAAAATTTAATGTAGATTGAAGATTCATTGGACAATAGAAGTAGGTATTATGCTAGTACATTAAATAAATACTAAATGTATTATACGTAAGTTTTAATGCAAGATGTAATCTATTTAAAAACTATTTCTTTTACTTACTAAATAATAATAATTTATAAAAAAAATTAAACCTATACTTATTAAAATTTATTTTGAATCGCAAATGAGCACGTATTTCATAGAAATTGATTACGAAGAAACGAAAACAATTGCCGGTATTCTATCTGACACGGGTCGATATCAAATATGAATGGATCATTAGGCAGATTGTGTTACATAAAACACTACGGCACAATTTGCAGTCGTAATGAAACAGCATGACACCGATTAATATAATAAACAGAAAGAGAATTTATAAATTGCACAGTATGCTCAAAACTATTAGCTTAAACAGAAGACCGATTTAAATCTGTAAATAGCGCTATTTCTGCAATTTGAGCTCATAATAATCACCGCAAACGCCCTGCAAGGACATTTAATTGTTCCATAATTTAGTGTTAGCGGTATAGCATGAGTAAAAAATATTTTGCTTACCGAAGTCGATGAGAAAACGCCGCAAAGAAGTGCACACTCAATACAACACTGTAACACTTAATTATCATTTAAAATTCTGTTTTAAATAACTTTTCAATGAACAATTAAAGGTCTTTAGTCAAAACTTCAAATCTAAAGCACGAGAAATGCTAAGTAAAGTTATAACCTTCTCAACAATTTTTTATCCAAACTCCGCACCTTCGACTTGTTCGAACTTCGATTCGAAGTTTTTCCTTTTCGTGAACCAACTCGTAACTTCAGCCTCTCAGTCTCACTCAAAATAACACTGGCGCCACTGTCGACCCCGACTGACATTTAATCAGATGCGATCACAGATTAGAGCGTACGTTTAATTTTTACAAAAATAAAAACTGAATGATAGAAGCTGAAACAATTGAATCTTATTTTGTGAATGTATTATATGTGTCTAAACATTATCTATATTATGTTTCAACATAATTTTTTGTACGATAACACGAGGTAGCTGGCGTTTTAAATAGTTATTATAATATAATTTATACACAATACATTCACAACAAAACGAAATAGGAAATAAATGATCTTAATGCAAATACTACATTTAATGTGTATATTTCTACACTGCTTTTTAAAAACATTTTCAATAATAAAATAAAGTTGAAACATGAATGTGAATTATGCAAATCTGTGCATGTTTGTTTTCTAAATTTATTCTCTGTAATACATGAGTAATAAATAAAAAGCGGTAACGTTGTCGGTTGAACGTAAATAAAAATATTTGATTTATTTCGTTAGGCATAAAAGTTACTGAGTTCAAATCGATAAATGCCTTAAAAACTATTATCAACATATATTCAATTATATTCAAAAATTCAAAATGACAAGTGCGCGAAACGCTCGTATTACACGTGAAATCAAGAATTTTGAGACGAAAGCTCCATGGGGAATTACGTGCATTCCTGAAAAGGAAGATGTTTACGATATTTTACACGTTAATATGTTGGGCCCTAAAGGGTCTCCATACGAAAAGGGTTCGTTTAAGCTCATCGTAAACATACCAAAACGGTATCCATTTGAACCACCTCTTGTAAAGTTTGTAACACCAGTTTATCATCCAAATATTGACAAAGGTACAAGCCATACCTATAGTTTGAAATAGTATGTCTGTCAATGTGTACATAAATTATATTTCTAAAACAACTATTTAAAAGTTTAACCGTTTTGAAGAAGAATTGACTTATATCATATTCTTTACGCTCACAAGTCTCAGAGGTGAAGATGACTATAGACCTGATTTTGACATCTATAACATCATAGGGCTTGCAGATGTGTTGACAACCTTCAAAATAACTTACCACATAATTTATGAAGGTATAATACTTCCACTACATGCTGGTCTTATGTGAGGCCGTGGTACAACTACATAAAACTAGCTCAATTGTGCAACAGCAGAAGTTGATGCAAAGCACTGCCACAGTACACAACAAATATAATTATGTACATATAAGATTCCATTTATTTTTTAGCTTATAAAATTGCAATATCATTTCAGAGGGCCGAATTTGTATGGACATGTTGAAAATGCCTCCGAAAGGTGCTTGGCTTCCCACAATCACATTAGAAACTCTCTTAGTGTCCCTACAGACTCTGCTTGCAAATCCCAATCCACATGACCCCTTAATGATGGATGTGGCACATGAATATAAAGTAGACATAGAGACATTTCAAGAAAAGGCCCGAAGATTAACACAGAAATACGCTACAGGGTTCCAGGGCAAAGAAAGCCAGTAAATCAATTCAAAATTAATATTATGCATAGCTATTTGACATGTCTATTGTCAAAATTTAAAGTCGAGAAATGATATGGAGATACAGGTGACATAAAAAAATAACATATTTTGAGCTCAGACAAAATCTTACAAAAAAGCCCATAACTGGAATTGCGGCTGTGACTGTGTCAGTTAAAATAAATTTTAAATTTCTGTCAAAGGGGGTGTTTTAAAACTTCTATCTTTTCTTTGGCATTATCATGTTTCCATGGATAGGTTCTTATTGATAAGAAAAGCAAATTTCTTTCAATTTCAAATTAAATACTAATCCCATTACTGCTTATATAAATTAATATGAGGACTTATTTTTACATGGATTAGTATTTGTATAAGTTATGATTTTTTGGAAAGGTGCCTTAATGCATTAAATTTATTTTCAGTACATATTTTAAGTGTCACCAAATAAATTTAATAATTATTAAAAATAAGTTATAATTTAAAGAAGTCATAATCAGAGTAGCATTTTATCTTAGTACCAGAATTGAATCTAATTTAATACTTAAGTCTATATATTGTAATGTGTAATATATTGTATTGTAATGTGTCTATATCTGTAATTAAATATAATTGAAATATTGTTTCGTATGAGATATAAGAGTTGTTGAAATGGAATATTTTAATAATATACTTTTGTACATATTTTAATCTGAATACTTTTATTTACACAAATACATATTGTTATGAATTTTAATAAATAAAGGAATATGTCTTTACACATTAATTATTTAGGCATATTAGGCAAACCCACAGGCCTTAAAATTTTGATTAATGATAATTTGTCTTTTGGGTTTTATATAATTAATTTATGGTAAATTGATTGGAATTCTATTGATTTCATGAGAAGTAATGTATTAAATTTTACTCATATTATGTAACTGTACCTCCTTTCATCAAATTCCAAATCCAATCGTATATCAGACATGTATTTATCTGTATAAGGTAATTTCAATCCTAACTTTCCATTCTGAGATTACAATTTTCATAAAATCTTGTTTTCATAAAATCCAGTTTCGTACTTTGTAACATCTTGAATCATCTTCAATCAGGGTTAAACCTTTATAACATCGCATCAAGGGAGTTGTTGTTACACAACACTTGTGTTATGTTACACAACACTTAATAAAAGCATAGGCACATTGTTCATCAGCTTCTTCCAGAAAACAGGAGATCCGCACTCAAATGGTTTCAAATTAACCAATGCTTAAGTGAAACTGTCAACCGGTGTCTGTGCTACTGTCATCTCCAGAGCTAGCACTCTCAGTCTCCGAGGAACTACTACCTCTCTTCACTTTTACTTGTTTGCCCATCATTTGGAATGTTGCTGTACTAGCAGTGCTTTTCTTACTGGTATTTGCCTCTGGATCATTCTCAAAGTTCTGCTTCAGATCTTTCTTCTTTGCTTTTTTACCCTCTTCACTTGTTGTTGGTTTTAAAGTTTCCGTTGACACCGTTGCCACCATTTTGGACTGCACCCTGGTCTCGGAAGGGCCAAAATTCTCGTCATCATCTTCAATCGGTTTCTTGTCAGCCAATGAAGCTTCCAAAGCCATTTTGTATGCTTCTGGATATTGTTGACTAAAACAAGTATAAATCTTATGATATACACATGTCTTGTCGAATCCCAAAAAAAAGCAATTTTTTTGGTAAGAAAAATTTATTATGATAATAGTTTTGTTTCTTCATTTAACAATTTATTGTTAATAATTAAATGCGGCTAATTAAAGTAATTAAATTGTGCTAATTTAATAGTTAAATATAAAGGAAAACGTAATATAATTTACCACTTACCCTAATTTTGTCTTCATAGCACGGATCTTTTTGAATATGAATTCGAGATCTTTTTTCATATCTAGCAAGAGTTGCGTGTGCTTCTTGAACTCAGCCGATGCAGCGCGAAGTCTACTAGCAGACAGTTGGTTGCAATTTGTAAGCATTTCCGTTGTCTTTTCAAATCGTTGCAGCCTGTTAAATAGATCATGTAACAAAACGTTACTAAAATTTAAACCAAAAGTCTAAAACTGAACTTGATTGCACAATATCTAGTAACATATATTTATATAAAAATATGCGTTGGCTTGCGATCTCATTGATTTATTAAAAAAATTCTTACATGACTTTTTGAGCACGTATTATGGTTTCAACGTCCCTTTGGTCTACCATTCCTGCTAAGCCTTGGACGAAAACCTCCGGCGCTGTATAGTTTTGAAAGCATTCTATTGAGAAGTCACTCTCTGGTGTATCGTTTGCCATTTCACTGGCGTCGTATATTTAATAATACTGATGAAAGTCTACAATTAATATTTTATAAATTAACCGTAGCAAAACGTTAGTGTCAGTCAATCACAGTAACTAGTGTATTAGGGATGACGAAAAAATATCGATATTTATTAAAAAGTACATCGATATTTTAGCCGATATATTTTGATGCGATATAAAATATTCGATATCGAAATTGTATCAAAAACGATATTTTTTTCAAATTCGAATCCGGAATACAGTCCGTAAATTCAAATATTTAATACTTGGCAAATGTTTTTTTTTTTTTTTTTGACAACAGGGTCTCTGATATTTCGAGGCCGATATTGATATTTTTATAAATATCGATATATTAATATATTTTTTCATTGTCACCATCCCTAGACCAGTGACCACAGCAATGCTACCAACTTTCGAAAATATTTGTCCCTATAGCTTAAGTCAAAAACTCCCTATTAAAATAATATTATTAAAAACAAAAAAATTATCAAGGCGAGTAGAGAGTACAGTGTGGCCAGCGGTGGGAATCGGACAAATGGCAGTTTACAGTATTGCAAGTACTCCCTCACAGAAGACCGGCGTAAAGTGGAAGTGTAACAAATAATTTCGCGTTTCATCTAGTGAGTGAGGTTGCCGGAGCCCAATCTTCAAAAGGTTGTCATCAGCATCTGTAACCCTCGCGTGTAGCAGATGTCCATGGGCGGCGGTATTCACTTAACATCAGGTGAATCGTCTGGTCGTTTGGCAACTTTTCACATGTTAAAAAAAGTTTCTCTGTCGAAATGTATGCGCAATACATCCAAATTTTGTTGCCTGTTGTTGCTAGTAGGTACTAATTTGACATAACTTTTTACATTACATTAATTACATTACGGCAAGTGACGAGACAAGTGTCCCACTGGGGTTAAGTAGGTGCGCGAGGGGTGCACTTACACCAAAAAATAAAAAGCGATTCTATCTGGGTTAAATTGCAAGGCAGCTCGCAAAATAAATTAACTCGCCATTGTTTACACTACTGTACTTGTCTACTTACTAAATACTTGACCAGTGCAAATCGGGCTTAAAATTTATCCTACGCTACCCCTATTGAAAGTGTTTTGATGGACAATTTTTATCTGACTCTCCATAGTTCAACTTCGCATTCTTAGTAATGTAAAACCGTACTAGATGTCGCTAAGTTAATAAATAAATATTATTGGGTAGATTGCATTTCTCTGGGCCTTGTATTTTTATACCTTTATATTTTTTAATCAAAGAAAATAACAAGAAATAAAACGTAGGAAAAAATGTAGAAGTCAAAAAACCCCTAAAAATATTATGCACATAAAAAAACCACAACGCGTTTGTTTACCTCCTAAATTATGTAAAATTCTGGATTTGGGAAGGATTTGATACCACGCCTTTTTTATAAAATACATCCGAATAAAATATGCATATGCATATGTTAACATTGATTTTTCAATATGAAACATACCAGACACTTTTTAAAAGGAAACAAGAGCCATCTATTTTCATTTTCATAAAGTAACAACTAGATGTAGCAAACTTATTATTGTTTGTTAGCGCGATTGGTAGATGGGGGAACAGCATTTTTATTTTTTGTGGTGGGTAATAGAAAAATCCTAGTTCACTAAGGTATTTGCATTATTACTATTAAATAAATAGCAATAATGAAAATGTGTCCACAGGTAATTATAATAAATAAAATAAAATAAAAACCTTTTTATTTCATGCAGTTGAAACATTATTTCAATTCATATTAAGTTTCATGTTAATTATATCTATTTGTTATTTTTTTTAGTACATTTATTTACAATGCGATTTTTTATTTGTATAAGAATATTTTTTTTTTTTTTATGCGAAAAAGTTGTCAAACGAGCAGACGGTTCACCTTTTACTGTGGATGTCCATCTGTCGTCTTCTAAGCGTGTTATATGACCAGGCCATCTAAATTTTTGTTTTTGAGCAATGAGTTTTGATAATATATAGCTCTCTTACATTTCTGATTTTGGTATGCCGGATTTTATGCATTTTCTTTATTTTTAACATGTTACGTTCCATATTTCTCTGACAAGTCGTTATTTTGTTTTTTACTTTTATTAGTAAATTTCCATAAGTACATAACTTTCATTTTCGGCGATGGAGGCATATCTGTTTTTAGTATGGTTTTTGTCGAATGACGTACCTATAAGCTAAATAGTTTATATGTAATTAATATTTGTAGTGCTAATTTCTCCACTTAAGATGAAACATTACAATTTGTACAAAAATTCCGAAATCGCGTTCATTTTAATGGTTAAAGCGTCTGACGCTTTAACCATGAAAGTAAACGATTGATTACTGCATCGAATAAAATCTTAACGTATTTTATCTAAATGAAACTAATTTTACGGATTTATCACGTTTATTTTTAATTTTAATTATTAAAAATAAATGTGATAAATCCGTAAAATTAGTTTCATTTATAATGTGTAATCGCGTAAACAAAAGAAATTATCATGACTATATTTTATCTACTTTGTTTCATTGCAGTTTAAACCACTATATTTTTTTTATTATTTATACTAAAAATTCATTAAAAACGGATATTGCCCATAAGAACAGTTTCATCAGTGAGAAATTAAAAAGCATTGTGTAGTGTTATTAAAACAACCACCCATAAAGCGGTTAAATCTAAAATAACCAAATTAATGTTAATAAAGTAACGTGGTCTACACTGTAAATAATAACAGGATATAGTATAACCACTAGTTCTGCTTGTCGTTATAATAGTTGTTAATATTCACGTTCAGTAATAGTTAAAATATTAGGATCAAGGTAAAATCGTTAGAACTCTTATATCAGAAGTGGGATTCAATACGAAAACTCGCATTTGGCTGTTCAAACAATCGGCGACATATTTTCTCCTTTTGTACCTACCCTCGAAAAATAAAACAGTGTGTTTTATACTTACTATACGTAATGGTGATAAAATCTTTTGCTTAGATGTAACGAAAGTTTTGGTGAGTACCTTCCAGCTAATTAATTACTTATCATATTTGAGAAAATGTAAAATAGTGATACACAACCTGGTTTACGCGGTTAAGCTACCGAGCATTTTAGTAGTTTGACGATTTAAGGCATGAACTGGTGATGGATATCCATTGTGAACACCACCACTGGTACTTAGACAACGTAGCGATACACGACCGGTGTAACCGGTAAAGCCACCCAAGTTTGATAAATCACTGAAAATTGTGAACGTGGCGATATGCATCCCAGTTGTGAGGGATAAGGCACAGGGTAAAGTGTTCTGAACGTGGCGATATGCATCCCAGTTGTGAGGGATAAGCCACAGGGTAAGGTGTTCTGAACGTGGCGATATGCATCCCAGTTGTGAGTAATAAGCCACAGGGTATGGTGCTCTGAACGTGGCGATATGCATCCCAGTTGTGAGGGATAAGCCACAGGGTAAAGTGTTTTGAACGTGGCGATATGCATCCCAGTTGAGAGGGATAAGCCACAGGGTAATTTTCAGGTTAATTTTATGAAGGTTACTTGTACCAGACTACAGCGCCATTCGAGGACGAAGGCGTGGTGCAGGACGGCCGAATGTTGGCGCAGGCAACACTGTATACCAGATATGACGTTATCTACTCGAGCCAAGGGACACATGGTCGCATAGAGCAGCGGTCACTTGGATTTCGGCCGCGTTCCCAGACGGTTATATAACCACTAGTGCTGCTTGTCGTTATAATAGTTGTTAATATTCACGTTCAGTAATAGTTAAAATATTAGGATCAAGGTAAAATCGTTAGAACTCTTATAATAGCGTACAAGAGAATTGGTAATTTTGTATCAACATCAAACATTTTATTAATATAATGTGGAACATGTGTACACATAAATATTACGAGTTTATGAAGACAAGGGCGGACCCTTAAAAGATTTGAGGTTGAATACAGATCTAATTGTTGAACTGTCCTAACCCTTCCACAGCAAGTTTGAACGGTAGGCCGTATGCTTGCAAATTGCTGGCGAAATTTCTGCGCCAAAACTTACTGATTAAAGGTCTCGGACTAGAACCTCCATTTTGTAAAATCAATCTGTTTATTTGCTTAGACGTCAGTGGCAGCACTCTCTTCGGGGACCTGAGCGCGTTAGTTTTCGTGGTTGAAAGCATTCTGTACATCCAATCAGGTATGACGATGTTGCTGGAGTCAGTTTCTGAGGGTATGACCTTCACTTTGCTGTTCCTCCCGAATACTATGTTGCTCACGTCAGATTCTACCTCGCTCTTGGACTTCCTCTGTTTGTTGTGTCTCATTTTGCCCTTCAGTATTTTGATTTTGCGCTTCTGGGCGTGATTCATCAGCGGCAGGTTGAGTTTTTTCGTCTTCCTGCTTGTTACGTATTCGACTAAGTCGTTTGTCACCTTCTCTTTCAGTACGTTGAATTGCTCCAGAAACTGCTCAGGATTCATTTGCTCTTCCTTATGGACGATTGAGCGTTCGAGGTGAGATTCGTCGTCTCTGTTCGCTAACAACGAGTCGTTATAGAACTTTCCGAGGTCAAGGATGATGGCCTTCGTGTTGACTCTGGGCTTCCTGAGTCCAGCGTCGTTGCGGGCAATATCATCAAGATTGTCGCTCTTCAGGTCGTCCAAATCCACCGTATTGACCAAGCCGCTTTGGCGCAACACGTCAGCTATATCTGCCAAGTCGTTCACCACGACTACATCGAAGTGGTTGTTGTCATTAAATGCCTTATCGTCTCGCGAATTGTTGTTGTTCCCGTCGTTGTCTTCGCTCTTGTGCAAGTCCTTCAACAAGTCCGCTAAATCGTTCTCTTCTTGTTTTCGATCGTTTAATGCGTTCTCGCCGCCTTCACTGTCAATTGACGACTCGCCTAACCGGTTTTCTCTATTCAAATTCCTCTCGAGGTTGTCTAACAGATTCCTGATGTCGTTGACTGTTCTCTGATCGCTTACCGAGTCCCCGCATCTTCCTACGCCCGGTCGGCAGCCGCAACGACCCGTTTTACGGCACAACTCCTCATTTTGGTTACGCAGGAATCTTTCAAAGTCATCGTCATCGAACTGGTCTTGTTTATTATCGTTGGCTAAGCGATTGACGTAAGAACTTAGTGATTCCAAGCCTATTATATCGTCGTTCTGATCTCTAGGGCTTCTCAAGTGGTCTTCTTGGTAATCATTAGAATCGAATACGGTGTCGTCGACTGATTTTACTACCTCATCGATTTTTCTAAGCTCCCTCTCACTGAGATTCCTCTCCCAAGAGCCACTGAAAACGCCGAACGCTATAGCGATCTGAAACAGTCTCGGAAACATTTTCTATTATGAGTTTACGAGGAGTTTTTCATAAGTCTCGTTTATAACGACAACAGGTTATTAGTATTTTACACCGATTGCAAAATTAGTAATTGAATTCATGAGAGGAATCAAATTAAGCGTGAAAATAATGTAATGTAAATTGGCGTCATGGTCTTTCGCTACTTTTTTATATGCTTGACGTTAGATTGGGTAAAGCCGGATATGAGGAATAGCATAATGTGCTGTTGGACTGACGCATCTTACACGTTATTAATTTAAACGGGAAGATGGGGACAGTTATACATATCATACATCGTATAATTGTTTGACGATTGTTTCTTACTATGGTCGATTATAGCTATACTACAGCAAAAGTGGAATATATTATGCGCGGTGAAACTATTACGTAGTTAGCTCGTAAGATCGCGGAGAGTTTCATACATACTTGGCCAAATATAAACTTATTATCTTTCCACAGAGTTTTTTCTATATCCTACTATGAGGGGGTTTTAAATACGACGGAAATGATATGGATTGATTTTAAAAAGTGTTGTGTTAATAAAATTAGTATAATTAGATTAATTATGTAACTTATTGAGATTCTATTATATGTAAAATGTAGGTTAAGATTATCTTTTAATTAGAATGGAATAAAGCAATCGGACAGGAAAAACATTGAGATAGAAATATGAAAATCGGGAGACAGCAGGGCTAATTAGGGAGTTTTAAAACAAAAAAAAAAATTAAAATTTAAAATTGTATTAATAAATGTCATTTCAAATTCCACCATTGAAACCAATGTAAATTATAATTTTTTGTGATGATACTAGTTTTACTTTAACTGATGTTTTAGCTTTCAGTCCGTAGACTATTAAAGTTTCATCGAAGGCAGAACGCTAGTCAGAACCCACTAGCTTGATACGACTTTCTGCGTTTGGTTTTGGATAGGCTATTAACATATAAAATAAAACACTTCACGGTCTTTTCTATTGAATATATTGAATCAAACAGCCGTAGGTGGGATCACCAAGAAACCGTGTACAACCATTTCTATCGGGACAGCGTATTTCAAAAGTCCATCCCTCTTCCCAGGAAGCAAGGCATCAGAGACCCTCCCAGCTCTACGTCTACTACCCAAGTTGATGAAGACGTTGTCCAGTGACCTCCTTGTCCCTAAATCGTCGACGGACATTTCGAAGTTGGAAGGATCTTGCCGCTCATCGTCTATTAAATATACATCATCGCCAGATCGTCTCCAACCTTTCATTAGCCTTCCGATTTCGTCCAATTCTCTAGCGGCGATCCTTTTGATTTTGTTTATCGTCTTCTGTGAACCTCTGGCGTCCAGAACCAACCATTTACCGCCGGGGCGTTTCGAGACCCCGCGGTCCGATCTGCGTCTAGCGTCTATGCTCGGTAAATTGTCATTGTAATACTTGTTCTGGTAGTGGATAAGCGACGTCAGGTCAAACCTGTCGTTGTCAACGTATTAAAAAATCGTTCGAACGGTGGTAGCCACGCAGCAGCCTTGGCTGTTGCACGAATGGGCAGGCTCGTCCGGGTAAGTACCACGACCTCACCAGCACAGACCGGCGTAAAGGGGAAGTAGGTATAATACTTCCGCGTTTCGTCTGGTGGGGGAGGATGCCGGAGCACAATTTTTAAAAGGTTGTCAACGCATCTGAAAACCCTCGGGTGTAGCAGATGTCCATGAGCGGTGGTATTCACTTAACATCAGGTGAACCGCCTGCTCGCTTGACAACTTTATTTGAATAAAAAAAAATTTGAAATAAAAAAAAAACTCATTGAAAACAAGTCTACTCTTCAAGAGGGATGACAGTTACAGGTAATAAATCATGCCTGGCTAATAAAATTTCAGTTAACATCGTTAGGATTACCTGACAAGCATCACAGAATGATTTTTTTCATCTCATAATGGTTCATCTTATAATAAATAATAACACAATGGAATATCAGTACGAGTGGATGCGGTGATATCGTTAATGGGTCATCAAATTTTTAAGTAAATCACTACATAGTATAAAACAAAGTTGTGCCGCTGTCTGTCTGTCCCTATGTACGCTTAGATCTTTAAAACTACGCTACGGATCTTGATGCGGTTTTTTTTACTAGATAGAATGATACAAGAGGAAGGTTTATAATACATATAGTAATACAACAATTTGTTTATAGTGAGGTCTATGTTAAACAGAGAATTGCTGGAAGCTTGTGATAATGATGATAATAATGCGCTTCTAAGGAAATGTCAACTCAACCTGTCGTTATGCTCGCCGAAGGTGATGTCAGGTTTGAAATCGGGTTGAGCCAGATATTGCGAGTTCACTGCGGCGATAAACTGTACAATGATGAAGAGTATGATCTGTAATAATAAACAAGTGAGTTTTTGCTGCTTAAACTGGTTAAATATTAAGTTTACGAACTAAACCCTTCAATTATACTGTATATTTTTAAAATATAAGTACATTCTAGGAACAGAAGTCAACTTCAAGTCTTTTATTAGTTGTCGACGATGACAAGAAATAGGGGAAGTAGCGGATATCAAACAACCAAGTTTAGTAGCCACCGTAATTGAAGACCTCTCCCGAAAAGGAATTAAACTACAGGATTTAACAGGATGAACATTGATGTTTGAAGAAATGTCATCGAGTGACAGCCTCGAACTGGCCATAGCAGTTTAGGACGACCCCCCACTAGATGGAGTGAAGATCTGTGCAAATGTGCGGAAAGTAGATGGATGCAGGTAGCTCAGGTTCCATCTTATACATTTTTATATTATGTTAGTGTGACTAATCTAGGTAATATTTCTAATAACTGGTCAGTTGTTCTTACCATTGTAGGCTTGCTGTGTGTTGTGAAAAATAATTTATATGGCGACTTGTTTCATACTTTCTAATATGTCTAAGGTGAAATAAGTTTTATTTAAACGAAATATTGTGCACAGGAGTCAGATTCGGAAACATCGCTACTGAAAAGTCGTTAAAATCGATTGAATGAATTCAACGTTGATTTTCCAATTATTCTTTTTATTTAACTATTTCGTAAGCGAGTTAATTAAATTTCGTCACAATTCGGTTTTAACAACTTCCGCTAAGATATCTTAGCGGAGATGCCCAGCTTTGGAAATATTTGGGACATTTACGTACACAGATTCATGTATGTTAGTTTTTTTATGTGAGATGGTGGCAAACGAGTAGGCGGTTCACCTGATTTTACGTGATAGCCGCCGCCTATTGACATTTGCAACACCCATAGGCTGCAGATGCGTTGACAACTAATAAACTGGGCCCCGGCTACCACAATCACTAGACGAAACGCAGAAGTCACTTCCAATTTACGCCGGTTTCCGTGAGGTCGTGGTACTTACCCGGACGGACCTGCTTATTCGTGCAAGAACACAGTGCTGCGAAGCGAAAGAAGCGAGCAAGCTAAGACAGTTGCTGTATTGTAACGTTGACGTTTTGTTTTGATTGTTTTATTTCAATAGTTGTATATTTTTTTATGTGAAAAGTTGCCAAGCGAGCGGGCGGTTCACCCGATGTTAAGTGAATACCGCCGCCCATGGACATCTGCTACACCCGAGGGTTGCAGATGCGTTGACAACCTTTTAAAAATTGGGCTCCGGCTACCTCACTCACCAGACGAAACGCGAAAGTACACTTTACGTCGTTCTTCTGTGAGGTCGTCGTACTTACCCGGACCAGCCCGCCCATTCGTGCAACAGCCGAGGCAGTTGCGTGGCTCTAACACCGTATGCATGTTTATATTCATTAACGAGTTTTTGATAAGCTACCTTCAGTTAGGTATATTCAAAATCCATATCGCTTGTTTCTGACTTAACCAAGCCGAGTTTCGCTTGAATAGCATCGTGTACTTTGATTCGAGTCAGCCTAATTGCCTCAATTGTTTGCCATCTGTAGAATAAACGGATCCGTTTGTTTACGGCCTGCGGTCATTATGCGTCGGGGCGACCAGATGTCGCCATTTCGGCCACGTGCTTCGTAGCGGAGCCTGCTTGGGGGCTGCGGTGCGGATTTTATTAGCAAGAGTGAGTTTCGGCGGTGTTTATTGCGTTCGATAAATCGATTACCATCTGAGACTGTATTTGTATTATAACTGATGTTACGCTTTCAGTCCTTAGACTGTTAAAGCTTCATCGAACGCAGAGCCAGGGCGCTAGCCGGAACCCACGGGTTTGAGGTCCTCCTCAGTTGGTAGGGTCGCGCATGTACTCATGCGTGCGTGACTTAAGGCCCATTTACACGGTGCAAGTTTCTTGCCTGTTATATACAATTAAATTGAAGCAATAAATGAGTTGCATTGTCTAAACAGCACATGACATTCTTGACTGTTGAACAAGACTTGCTTCAAGTTTTGTTTCAAACCTTTCCTTGGTGTAAACAGCACACACAATAATTTCTTAAGCAATTCTTGTATTCAATTGCATTCTCTCTTCCTTTGCAAATATGAATGCGATGTGTGAGGGTGTTTAATCGTAGTAAGTTTCGTAGTAAGTAAAGTTCGTAAAAAAAGTTGGACAAATAAATGAATAATAATATATGAATAATAATAAATAAATCTCAATGAAATATATTAAATCGGCATAATCTAACTTGAACACTTATTATTGATCCATTTTTTTTTAAATAAACAGCCCTTTTCAAAACGCTCAACACTTGAATGAAATATTTGTCAAATACGTGCAATACTTGAAGCAACACGCCAATAAATTGTACACGCACATACAAGCATGTGTTTAGACAAGTCAAAACTTGAAAGCAATAATCGCCTAAACATAATTGCATTGGTGTAAACAAAAGACATTTGCAATTATTTCTTGTCAAGACTTGCATACAATAATCGCATGGGAGGTAAAGTTGACGATGTACAAAGTGATCTTATTGAAATTATTAGACAATTTAAAAATATCGGTCTCGATTTAAATAATTCCAAATGCGAACTTTTCTTTTCCGAAAAGATTTCTTTTTCCGACAAAATCATTTTGACCCAAAATTTTAGCTCTATCATAACCGGGAATTAACGTAGTCCGTTCAGATTCACTTTACCTCTTAGGTGCTCCTTTGTTGATACCAAGTTTGGAACCTCATTTAAAATTAAAGTTAAGTCAATTTTTAGATCATGTCAATAAATTGTTTTTACTAAATTCGCATATTGCGCTTACTATTTTGCGACATTGTATTCTTGTACCTAAATTTACGTACCTCCTTCGCTCGAGTCCAGTTTGGAAATGCGGTGACTTTTTGAACGAAATTGATTTCCATCTTAAATCAGCTCTAGAAAAAATTCTAAATTTATCTCTTAATGAATTGAGCTGGACTCAAGCTACGCTGCCAATTCGTTTTGGTGGTATCGGTGTAAGGAAAATTTCTAGTGTCGCTCTACCTGCCTTCCTTGCTTCCGTGCATAGCGTAAATAATTTATGTAATAACATCCTTAATCACGATTCAGAACTTTCCTATGCAGAGGAGGCAAGGTTGTCTTGGCTGTCTATCTGTCCCAAAGAAAATATCCCACTGGAAGTAAACCTACAAAAACAGTGGGATGTTCCTTTGGTGCGGAGAGTACAAAGAGATACGTTTCAATCTTTAGAAAGTAATTTAGAGCGTGCCCGTTTCCTAGGAGTCTCATCTAAAGAATCGAGTTATTGGCTTCACGCTTTACCATCAAGTAACTTGGGCACATTACTTGACGATGAAAGCTTACGCATTGCTGTAGGAATCCGTCTGGGGGCACCGATTTGTCAACCACACCAATGCCCTTGTGGTGTCAGTGTAGACAAATTTGGTCTCCACGGGCTTTCTTGTCAAAAAAGTGCTGGCCGTTTTTCTCGCCACGGTTCCCTGAACGACATCATCCGTAGGGCTCTTGTTTCCATAATGTTCCATCTATTTTAGAGCCCTGTGGCATTTTACGCGACGATGGTAAGAGACCCGACGGTTTAACATTGATCCCTTGGGAGAGAGGCAAAGCCCTTGTTTGGGACGCCACTTGTGTAGACACTTTGGCTGCCTCTCATCTAAGGTGTACTTCGGTCAGGGCCGGGGCGGCATCGGAGGCAGCTGAAGTAAGTAAATGGCGCAAATATGAGTCTTTATGTTCAGATTATATATTTGTGCCATTTGCTGTTGAAACATTAGGTCCGTGGGGTCCCCGCACATCAAATTTTTTTAAAAGTTTATGTCCTAGGCTTAACGCCGCGGCTGGTGACAAGAGAGCTGGTTCTTTTCTCGCGCAAAGGTTAAGCATAACTATTCAGCGAGGAAATGCAGCTAGCGTTCTTGGCACCATGCCGCGTGGATTAGGTTTATTAGATAATATGTAATTTTAGATAGATTTAATCTTGTAAATATTAGATCAATAAAGATTGTCTTTTCATAATCGCATTCAATTTTGTTTACTATATCTGTGTGTAAACTGTTGCTTACAATTCTTGATGGTCAATTATTGCGTGCAACTTATTGCATTCAATTATTGCTCTTGTATGTACAAGAAAATGGCATCGTGTAAATGGGCCTTTATGGCATGTCGCCTACGGGCCATCGAGGTTCGGTGCGGACTGTGACCCCAGTGGCCGCTGTGCTTGGCTAGTCGGTGGCTGGGGGCGGTGAGAACCGCCCTGGACCGCGGTGTATCTAGTGTACGCGTTGCATCTAAGACTAAGTTGCTTGCAGTAAGTCCGCATGGAGTTCGAACTAGCCGGTGCGTAGTGTAAATAGGAATGTAACATTCATCATGTATCGTTCATCTGCGGGTATGTTAAGTTGTGATGATAGAGGTCATGGTGATTAGGCGTCAATTTAAATGATATGATCGTAGAAGCTTAGAAGCTTATATATTAGCTTATGTACTCGTAGAAACTGTTCGGTGGTAGAGCCACACAGCAGCCTCGTCTGTTGCACGAACGGGCAGGCTCGTCCGGGTAAGTAACACGACCTCACAGAAGACCGGCGTGAAGTGGAAGTATGACAAATACTTTCGCGTTTCGTCTGGTAAGTGAGGTAGCCGGAGCCCAATTTCCAAAAAGGTTGTCAACGCATCTTCAAACCCTCGGGTGTAGCAGATGTCTATGGGCGGCGGTATTCACTTAACACCAGGTGAATCGTCTGCTCGTTTGGAAACTTTTCACATAAAAAAAAGCTTAGCCATCTGTTCTCGGTTTTGGCTGTCTTCAGTGGCGAATTTGTAGTCTTGTCCACCCTAGGCCCTAATAGTAAGTTCTAGCTAAGCCTAGCCAATGTAGAAGTTCCAGCCGCCAATTTCTCAGTGCCGATCATATATCTTGTTATCGTCAGTGAATTTTTTGTCACGATTGGCCACCATATGCGGCCGCCCTAGGCCCGAGCCTAGTGGTCCTTATGGCAAATCTGCCATATGTTGTGCTAGTTAAGCGTAATCTAACAACAGAGCCAATGTGCAAATAATCTTATTCATATTTGGCTAATACGGTAATTAGCTTACCAATTCGTTTGTAATTCCGAGTAATCTATCTTTTTAGGCCGGCAACATATTTGAAAGTCCTGTCGTGTTCCTAATGTCCATGGGCTGTAATGATTATTTTGCCTCCATTTCCGTAAAAAGGAACATAAGAATGTCATTAATTGTCGGGATCTATCCTGCAAGTAACTTATCGGTCCAATAATAAAGTTTTTGTAGATACTTACAATACAAACGAAGAGTTATTCTTTCAAATTGCAATGTATCCGCACTAAACGCGAATGTTTTCAGTTCTTTTTAATAAGTAGAGAGTCGCAGCGCAATTCTATTTTCACAATAGTTCCGGTCGTCATTTCGCAATGGGCCCCGCAAGCCCGCGGTTGGCACGAAAAAATGCAAATGGCGCCGCTCCGTGACGTCACGTCCGTGCCAGATGGCGCGTGTGCGCGCTGATGCCGCTTTAATTGCCCCGCGGCCATATTTCGTACTGTTCGCGGGAATTTCGATGAAAAGGGCGGCCCTTCCTTCATTCGCAACCGAAGCCGGTTTTCCCTCAGTCGCCATCATGTTTTGGACGTTAACATCCCATTGTGTGTGCGATGACTTTTTCATTAATATCTTTTACGACGCTAAAGTCTCTAGTTGGTGATAATTAGAAATAGAGAAACTTTATACTATATTAATTTATTCTGATTAATACTAAAATTTCTCAAACGGGCAGCTGGCTTAACCTTAAGGCTTGCAGATGCGTTGACAACCTCTAAAAAGTGGACCCAAGTAACCCTCACTTGCCAGACGAAATTCAAATGTATAATAGTTCCATTTCACGCTGGTCTTTTGTGCGGTTGTAATACATCCTACGACGTGTCATTTAGCCCAGTTTTTAAATAGATCTCACAAAGGAAATGTTGAACCTTCATTTATTAAATATAGATGACTCGGCAAACGTTATTTTGCCATATAAATTATTTGTAGAGGAACAAGAACGCACGCATAAAGTGTTTGACAGGTTACACAGACATAGTTGACCGGTTGACAGGTACAGTTTATATGGGAAAATGAAATTGTCGCTATTTCGATTTTCCATGCAAGTTTCCCATAATTTATCATCGTTTAAACCTTCCCTGGACTGCCACAAATATATCAAAGCCAAAATTAGCCAAATCGGTCCAACCGTTCTTGAGTTTAAGCGAGACTAACGAACAGCAATCTATTTTTATATACAGCGTGCCGTTACCACCGCGACAATAAGTGAACACACATATAGAGGATAACTTTTTAAAATTGTATTAAACATTTACATTCTTTAAACATCAATATTTACCGAGTTATTAAATTTTCCAAACAAAGAATTTTAGAACATCCTTACGTATACAACTGTAACGTAAAGTTCATTGGTAAAGGTCCCAAAGCATATGAATGGGTTGAATGAATTTAAAAGAGACAAAACATACTGTTAGCAGGAGAGGCTTGTAATGCGACGCTGTGGCGCGAGTTATATAGGATGTTACAAATTTTGTTTCTTTTTTACTTAATTAGTTTGTTTGAAAAATATATTTTTTTAATTATGGACTTTGTTTAACGTTAATATTTTTTCATGATTATTGGCATTAGCGTTAGACGTGTGTTATTTATTGTCGCGATGGTAACGACACGCTGTATAAGATTACCTAAAAATTAAACCTAAAAATTAACCGTGTTAGAGGTTCACGAAACAGTATTCGCTAATGCACGACTGGGCAAGGTCCGGTAGTACCACTACCTCACAGAAGACCGGCGTGAAGTGGAAGTACTTCTGCGTTTCGCCTGGTTAGTGAGGTAGTCGGCGCCCACTTCATTATAAGGTGGCAACGCATCTGCAACCCTTTTTTTTCCGTGGTAAAAATCCTTTATGGATCCCCTGCCACTTCCCCGATCCAGTTGCACGAATGGGCTGGCCCGTCCGGGTAAGTACCACGACCTCACAGAAGACCAGCGTAAAGTGGAAGTATGACAAATACTTTCGCGTTTCGTCTGGTGAGTGAGGTAGCCGGAACCCAATTTTCAAAAGGTTGTCAACGCATCTGTAACCCTCGGGTGTGGCAGATGTCCATGGGCCGCGGTATTCACTTAACCTCAGGTGAACCGTCTGCTCGTTCGACAACTTTTCGCATAAAAAAAAGTTTGGATTTTATTACTTATTTTAATACGTCAGTGCTTACTTTTGAAAGGAAAGCGCATATAATTTGAGAGTTTTTCTGACACACGTGTATATCAGAGTCGCGTGTCGCCAGCGGTAATTCTGGACTAGTCAGCCTTACGAACCGCCAAGAGAACCTCCGACTGGTGGCGGAGCTGAGTAGCCGTGGCCTGGCTAAGGTGAAGCTTTCGCCTGGATGGGAATGCTCCATTTATGCTGTAGAGCTAGGGCCGTGGGAGTAAAGGGTTTATCATAATCATCACCCGCGAGACGTCCCCTGTTGAACATAGGCGTTCTAAGGGGGAGGCCCCTAAGAACGCCACAACGAAGGACACTTTTCCATTTGCATCCACCGGTTGTCCGCGGTCCCCAAAAATTACTTTACCCTACCAATATGAGCCACACGTTGTTCCGATAAGGAAAAAAGAAATAAGAAGAGTACTTAAAGTATCCTTTTAATTTTTTCCTATTTTAGGGTTCCGTACCCAAAGGGCAAAATAGGACCCTATTCCTAAGACACCGCTGTTTGTCTCACTGTCCGTCTGTTACACGGCTGTATCTCATCAATCGTTCTGTTGCCGCTATACTAAAAAACGGAATAAAAATAATTAGGTTGTGGCTCCTGTACAACAGACATGATTCTTGTGCCGTTTCTATTAGTAAATGTTACGGAGTCCAAATCGCACTTAGGCGGTTTTGTATATGTGAAAAGTTGTCACGCCAGCTACAAACGCAATAACAATTATAATGTTACATTTGCGAAGGGTTTGTTGTAAGTGGAATTATTCAGTGATTTGAATTAGTCCATAATTAAAATAAATCTTGTGATATATATAGTGATAAACCAAATAACTTCAGTGAGTTCTTCACGGTGGTAGGGCCACGCAGCAGCCTCGGCTGTTGCACGAATGGGCAGGCTCGTCCGGGTAAATACCACGACCTCACAGAAGACCGGAAGTGGAAGTATAATACTTTCGCGTTTCGTTTAGTGAGTGAGGTGGCCGGAGCCCAATTTTCAAAAGTTTGTCAACGCTTCTGCAACCCTCGGGTGTAGCGGATGTCCATGGGCGGCGGTATTCACTTAACATCAGGTGAACCGTCTGCTCGCTTGACAACTTTTCACATAAAAAAAGAGTACAAGCTTATATATTTTGATAATATAATATTCAGTCTTCAATCGCGTGTTTAGATATATTTTTATTTTTTGTAACTTTTACCGATGTACGGAACTCGACAGATCTACGCGCGTCGAGCTGTCATAAACAATTCATACGATAATCAATGTTTACTGCTGTCTATGGTGCCATTGCCTCCATTAAACACGGTTTGTGGCAGAACCAGCAATTTGAGCGCCATCAAATCGACTATCTTTGACGCGTTTTTAGAATGTAAAGACTTTTATTAAGTATTTGAATTAACGATGTTTGATGAGGGTACTGCATTTACGGTTTCTTTAGGGATTGCCATTTGCCACCCTTAAAAAATATGTCAAGATAATGGCTATAACTATGGCTTGAATAAATAATTAGATTTTAGTCGATTAGGCCGAAGCCATAAAAGGAGGGTTATGTACTTGACTTATATGTAAAAACGTAAAGTAAAGTAACAGCCTATACATGTCCCACTGCTGGGCAAAGGCCTCCTCTACACAGATAGTCCGCCACGCGGCCCCACTGCGGATTGGCGGACTTGTTATCATTTCGAATATGCCGGTTTCCTCTCGATGTTTTCCTTCACCACTGAACACGTGATAAGTCAGTACTTGAAATTGACAATTTCATTGGTGCCGGCACCGGATTTGGACTCGGGTTGCCCGAGAATATCGAGTAAAATCCGAGCGCCCGGCCACTGAGCTATCACGGCTATATATGAAAACATATATAGAGGAAAACTTTTTAAAATTGTATTAAACATTTACATTCTTTAAACATCAATGTTTACCGAGTTATTAAATTTTCCAAAACAAACAATTTTAGAACACCAATACGTATAAAAATGTAACGTAAAGTTCATTTGTAAAGATCACAAAGCATATGAATGGGTGAATGAATATAAAAGAGAAAAAATACTGTTAGAAAGAGAGGCTTGTAATGCGACGCTGGGCAGCGAATGAAAAAGTCTCTGAATGTATGAATCAGTCAGTAGGTGTCATGTAGTTGTATAGGATGTTACAAATTTTGTTTCTTTTTTACTTAATTAATTGTTTGAAAAATATTTTTTTTAATTATGGATTTTTTTAACGTTAATATTTTTTTATGATTATTGGCAAGTAGCGTTAGACGTGTGTTCGTTTATTGTCGCGATAGTAACGACACGCTGTATATGAGCTGCATTTTAGCTCACCACTTTTGTGGTAACCACCTCGATTTGTGTGAACAATCGAATCGAAGTCTGTACGATTACACACATGCTCGCTTTTGAACCACTGGCCTACCATCGGCTATCCAATTACCAGGCGCGTGTCAAACGCGTCGTCTGGCGGTTGCCGGCACCTGAGCAAACGCGTGCCGTCGCCAGCTTTACACAGGTGGAACAACGCTACAATAGAGCATTTAATACTCTACTTTAAGAAGGCACAGGTGTTTGTCTGTTGTTTCACACGTAGCCGTGGGAACAGGTGCCTTACGTACTGTACAAACTATGGCTATGGCTCGTTTCCTTTCGTATGTTGTGACCGCCTCATTAAGATATACGACTGTCGTAATCCGACCGACGTCTCCAGATATTTGTTCGATGAGATTTACGTTTAGAGATTATTCAACTTCCTCACTGTCTGGATGAAGAGTCATTTTGTCAAAGCTGTTCCTGTTAAGGTCTGTTCAAAGACGGCCACTTTCTTCATTTTCTCGAGGTACATTGGTGAATTGATCTTTATTTGTTGTTAATCATACTTTTTGATACGCCCTATAATAACTGACTGAGTGGTCCCTTTAATACATTGCTTTTATCTGTGTAAATGAAGTGATAGAAGGAAGTGATCAAGGAACAAGTGTTGTAGTGTTAACAAAACCAGCCAACTGCAAGTCACACTGCCGCACGAAGGGTTCCGTACCTGTTGTATGGGAGCCCCACTTAGATATTTTTTCATTCTGTTTCTAAGTATTTGTTGTTATAGCGGCAACAGAAATACATTATTTGTAAAAAAATCAACTGTCTAACTATCACGGTTCATGAGATACAGTCGCGGCGGTAGACGGACAGACGGATATACAGAGACTTAATAATAAGGTCCCGTTTTACCCTTTGGGCACGGAACCCTAATAAGCAACGCAGACGAAGTCGCGGGAATCAGCTAGTAGTTAACAGCTCTGTAAGACTGATCTCTGATCATACTGGTTTTGATTTACCAGACAGACAGACTAGAATGAAACAATAATTTTAGTTCATT